TTCAAAATTACTAACAGACAATTTAATATTTGTGGTATCTCAGACCGGTCAAGACCACCATACCCATTAATAAATCAATAAGTTTAATTTAAGAAGCCAATTATTTAACAAGGAAATTTTCAAAGTATGTTTTAATACGAAAATATTTATAATGACAATTGTAAAATTACCATTTAAAAGTTTAATCAATGATCATAAATGAGCCGATTGTAATTTTAAATATATTTACCCTATATTTTTAATTGATGGTAGGTAATATGATGTCAATTTACCTGTAGAAGTTGCGACTTTTACAATAATACTGATAAAAATTTCATTTAAAATCTGCTCTATTTATTTGTTATTAGCATACTATAGACCGATTACACAATATGAATATTTTCACACGATAATTTAAAACATCAACCAACCAATCAAACGCTCTTGGTTTGCTTTTCAAATAAAACATGTTATTATTACTAATACTGCAAATAATTCTTATAATGGATTGCATTTAAGTTCACCTTTTATCCATCAATTGTTCAGCTGTTTCGCATTAATGCATAATAATGCATGTATATTTATATGTATTGTGCGGCGTCGTTTTATAGCCAAATTTTTATGCAACAACAATTACTTTTTGGGGTTTTCCCAAAAAAAAAAAAATACCCCAAAAAAGTAGTTATGAAAAAAAAATTTTTTTTTATTGATTTTTAGTTTCCCGTTGGGTCAGACCGCAACCGGCACCGGGCTTAGTTAATCTAAGTGATGTGCAACATATGGCATAATTCTATAATTGTATAATTGTATTTCTTCATATTCGTAAATCATAAATAAAAATAATGAATAGCTGATAACAGTTAATAAAAAAATAATCATGCTAACGTATTAAATAATACAATCAATAAATTACGTCGAATGGTGATTCCATTAAGTGTTTATTGTTTATTGTAAAAAATCTCTTCTCTACACCAATGAAAAAAATTATTAAGTGAAAAAGTGATTTCGGCAATAGTTTGGCTTTATATGAATAGTCATATCTAGAAAATTAATAGTTGATCATGATCTTTTTCAATCTATTAATACTAAAAATATGAATCTACCTAGTATAGTTTTATATAAGAAATTACGTTTCAATATTTTTCTAGTACAGATGACGGTGAATGAATCAAATAACCAGATTTAAATTATTAAATCGAAATATTGGCGTGAATTGGTTTTCTTTAAAGTATGAAATTTGACAATCAAAATTTATAATAATCGTAGTAGTAGTATAGTTAGTATAAACTTTTTTTTATTTTAAAAAAGATTTGATTAAATTAAATAAATTTATTAATTAATAAAATATATAAATCTTAAATCTTATAACAAGTAAACTCTATAAGCAATCAATTGTTTAAAGTAATTGAAAATATAAATAATAATAGACTTATTGAGTTTACCTGATGTTAAAAGTTGAAATTGAAATGTTGATCAGAGGATTGGTCATAATAATTGGGAAAATTATAATCAACAATTTGTTGGTCCACTTGATACTGACTTGAAATGTTGGTATCAACAGACAATTCCATAGCAACACCATTAATATACCATTCAGTATTAATGTAATTTTCTTGAGTTGGATGCGTAATAAATCGGGCAGCATTGAATTGTACTTGATTATTTTGTTGAGGAATAATAATTCTATTTCGATGATTATGATTTCTTGAGTATGATTCGTGGCTTACTTGAGAATTCGAAATCGTAACTTCTACTTGTTGTGTAACTTGAGAATACGACGGTGGTGACGGATATTGAGTTTGCCGTAGTGGTTGTAGTGGTCCAAAGATGTTGCTGTTGTTGTTGCTGCTACTGCTGCTGTTGTTATTGTTGTTCGAAATTATATTTGGAAAATTAGCAGCTTGAGAAGACGTGTCAAAATTATCAACGATGTCAGCATTAATAACCCTCACCATATCGCTCATATCGCTCATTTTGCTCATATTACTCATATTACTTAATTTTTTTTAAAAAAAAATCGAGAAAGTTAGAGATATTTTTAATTAAATATAGAAATGTTGGAGATAAAAAAATTATTATAAAGATATTTCTCAAAAAAATTTATAGAAATGTCGGATATATTTTTCGAAAAAAATAAATTATTGACACGTGTGTTTACTTTTTTAATGCCACAAAAAAAATATAGAAATGTTGGATATATTTTTTCGAAGATATATAGAAATGTTTTTTTAAATATAAAGAAGTTGAAGATATTCTTTAAAAAATATAGGAATGATGAAGGTATTTTTTTAATTAATACCTGTTTTTTTAAAAAATAGAAAATGTTAGAGATATTTTTTTAATTGATGTTGAGATATTTCTTTAAAAATGTTAGGAATGTTAAAAATGTTGAAAAATTTTTAAGAGATATTATTTTTTTTAAAACTTTAAAAATTTTTTTTCTTAAGAAGTATGTAAGAAATATTTTCCATTAATATTAAATATGAATCCGAAAAAAAGAAAAAAATTTATTATTTCTTTAATTAAATCATAAATCAAGTATTTATTTTTTAAAAAAAAAACCATGGAAAGTCAATTAAATATAAAATCCGAAAAAAAAAAAAGAAAAAAAATATTTTGTTTTTTTAAATCAGGTAAATATTATTCTTTTAAAATGTATAGAAAATTTTTCTTCAATTAAATATAAAAAAGAAAAAAATTATTTTGTTTTTTAAATCAAAGTAAATATTATTTTTTTAAAAAAATATATAGAAATGTTAAGAGAAATGAAAATATTTTCTTAATCGAACCGATTTTTTTATATATTTATATATTTAATTTTTTACTCTAATACCTTAAAGTTTTTTTTTTGACTTTATTACTCGTATAATAATAATATTTAATATTTATCTGTGTAATGTTATTTTTTAAAATAAGATAAACAAATATATGCAGAAAACATCATTATAGTAGCATTATTTTTCACATTTATCTGACTTGCTATTCTAAATAGAAATGCTGGGATATGTGTTGTTTTTGAATTGTTGTTTGTTTAGTAAAAAGTTTAAAGTTTTAATATAAATCGAAGGAAATTTTTTATTTTGTCACTAACACACCCACATGTACTTTTTAACAAGAGATGTGATATTTTCTGCATTCATTTTTGTGACTTATTTAATTTCCTTGAAAACTTATAAAAAGAATTTCTAATTGAATGTTATGCCTCAGTTCTGAATGATGTCACTACTTTTAATAAAACATATAACAAAAGATTTGAATTAATATTAAAATATTATTTCATCCTATTATTTATTAACAAAAAGCTTTAACAACAAGTTGCTTAAGCATTATTTCATTAAAGATTGTTAAAGCGGTGTATTGATTCGATCATGTGATAAACGGGATAATTCATTTATTTAATACTATTATAGGTATGTGTATGTATGTGTATAAACTAAACAATATCCGATCGACATAGTATAGTCAACAAACGGTCACCACATAATAAATAATAATACCATCAAAAATATGTAAAAATGATTTTAATGGGTCTCTCGAAAAGAATCGGTTATTTTTATTTTTATCAGTTATTGTTATTTTTATTTACGTAAACTTATTCATTTTATTTTTGTTTATTTAAGATGATGATTTATTATGTAGTTAATTAATATTAACCATATAAATAATTGGTTTGCTATTAAAAATTGATATTATTTTCTGAAATCGTAATATGCTCTGCCTCTCGAAAAGAGAAAATATTAATCCATAATAAGCTAGTTGCAAATAAAAGATTGTTTATTTGTACTATTCTAAAAAAAGATTAATGATGATATCAAATATTATTATTCTAAAAAGATTTAAATTTTTTATTCTAGTTATGACAGTTATGACGCATATTACAGTGTAAAATTTATATCAAAATTTAAAATGTTTTTTTTTGGTGTTCTTTGTGTTTTATGTACATAATTTTCTATAGCACTCAATTCAAAAATCAATTTTTAATATAAGAAATTAACGAATTTTTATTTGTATATATATTTGGTATTACTTTTGTTTTTATTATAATTATATAATAATATAAATTGGAAATTAAAAATTAAGTTTTTCGCATAAATAAATAATGTTATTGTTGTCATTGTAATTATTATATTGTGTAAAAATTATTATAATAGAAATCTTAAATATTAATATTAGAATAATTTTTATTTAGAATTTATTTCATACATAGATAAATAATTTCTTCAAGTTATGAAATCTTTGCCCCCGCCTTTTAATTTTAATTTCATTATGAATAAATAAAATTGCACATATATGCTTATTAGTAGGTGAGCAACTACTTTAAATTGTTGTATGTATTTATGTTTTTATATATTTATTTTTTATTTTATTTTTTATTATTTCATTATAAAATTGATATCAAGAAAATTCGAGGTAACGTGGCACAATTAAAGATATATATAGATCAAAAATAAAAATATTATTAGTTTAACTCATCTATTTCATCTATACATTGTCTAGAATCCTTCTATGTGATTAAGATTTATTTACAATGTATTCAGCCTATAGTACTGTTAATCCTTTTCTCTAACCATAAATCTTGAGACTCTCATTGCATACTTTCTAATTTGTTTCACTGATATAGAATTAAAGCATTGGTGACATTCTCTTGAAGACCTTTCCATGTGTAATTACAATGTTGTCTAACATATCATTTAGCAGCCCCCAAACACATTTCAATGTAGTTAGGTTCACAGTGAAACTTTGGATAGAAGATGACTTTCTTCAATTAATTTTTGTAGTAAGGGTTTTTAGTTTTTAAAATCATCTTGGTTGCTAAGGTATGTATAGCACAACAAGTTAAAGGTCCTTTAAGAGAAACTTTAAACAAAAAAAAAATCGAATGGGATTATTTTATATTCATAAATTCAATGCAATTATTATTATCAAGATTTATTGACTAGAAAAAAAAAACGCGTGAAATTTCAAATTTTATGGATGAATTATATTGCGTAATTCACCAGAATTAAAAATCTATTTTATGTGTGACTTAAGGTGGGCCAAAATTACATGTTTCAAATTTGAAAAATTTTATATATAAAATATAAAAATTACATGATTTTCAAAAGCTTATAACTCTTGAACCAATAATAATTTTTTAATTATCTCGATGATAGATTGTAGAACTGGTCAAAAGCTATCAAATATCGTCTCAATAATTTTTTTATAAGCACACAATATTTTCTTTTTAGGTTTTAAAGCTGGTCAATTTTTATTTGATGGGTTGTTGTGGCGTGCACTATACAAGGGAAATTTTTTACAATATGGGAAGATTAATCGGATCATGCTATAGATGATACAAATTAAAGAATATATATATATACAAATTGATAGAATGATGAATATCATAGATTATGGTACAACTCTGAAGAAGCAAGTATGATGGTATAAATAATAAAGAAATAGAACCAACCATGATCATGAACAGACAAGGAAAGCTCTGAATTGCACACTATCTACTACCTTTTCGCATAAATTTGATGCCTGTATCTTTGAGAATAAAGGAAAAATAATGATCCGAAATCATTATATTTCCTATGTAAACTAATGATCACAAAAAATTACATAAAAGCTTACTACAGTCAAACCTCAATAAGCCGAACCACTACAACCCGATTTTCATTTTATAACGATACAAAATTGGTTAACCAAAAACATAATTAATTGTAATTGTAAATCATCAAAACCGAATTTTGATAAATCGATCCCATTTTTGTGATTCAGCTTATCGAGGTTTGACTGTAGTCGAATAAAACAGTTCGAAGCATCAAATATTTGAATATTTGAATATTTGAATCAAGCGGATCATTAAAATTATTTGAATATTCGTCGCTTTTTAATAATAAATTTCTTTGTTTTTATTAATTTAGGCCAATTCGGGTTTTTCATAAAAATATTTTTTTGACAGTGTAGGACAAAAATTCTAGATACAGTCAAACCTTGTCACAGCGGACTATAATAACAATCAAATCCTCGTCATAACGGACTTTTAAAATATATAAAAATCCGCTGCGGAAAGATTAGTAATCTTGCCACAACGGATTTTTATGTTTTTAAAGTCCGTTATGACGAGAATTTGATTGTAGTATATGACATTGTTGGTTAGAATCAAAATTTTAATAATATGTCTCAATCTGGTTCATATGTAGCTTTACATACTGTATAACCAATCAATCAATATATGGTATCAAACAGGTTTGATTTTCTTAGAATGCCAAGTGATTATGCAAATGTATATTTCTGAAAATTCTAATTAATATTAATATGGAAAATAAAATGAAAAATTCGAAAAAGTAGACGTTTATTTTCGAAACTTTATTATCAAAGTAAATAAGGTTTAATGGATATCCTTTTATATCGAAGAAAACAATTGTATAGTCTACACAAATTCTTGATTTTGTCAATAATTTATGCAGGTTATACGTATATTGTGGCCTTTTATTGTTGATTTTACTTTAAAGCAAGATTTTTTTTTCAATTTTGCTTTAAATGTCTTAACAATTGGTGAGATTATACAAGCCTTCATACTAGCATATTGTTCTATAGAAAGTATGATGGTTCTATTAATAGCTTTGAAAGTTTATTTATTTTGAAAATTGCTCGGCAAAAGATTGTCGATCTTTTTCCCAAAACATATGTTCAATTAGATTTAGTAATTTGACAATGTCAAAAAACTGCATGCATATGCGTGCTTTATTTGGTAAAAACATAATAATATACATCAATGTCCTCTTTAGGGATTTTTTTATTTGTTGAAATTCGATGCCACATTAAGAAAACTTGTCTCGGTTTTTTTTTATATAAATGATGAGAGAATTCTACCAAAGTAAAAAACAACAAACTATCATTTGTTTAAAAAAAAGAAAATGCACACAATCAATAATAATATTATTTTCTTGTTCCTTTTCTTATTCGTATTCGCAACAATGATCAATTCATTCCCGTATAATGATGTCAGAAAAAGAGCAGACAATGTTGGTAAATTCACTCAATGTGCTGGTAATTTTCCCATCACTATTATCAAAGATACATACACTCCAGCAATATTCGTACCCGACCAAAAGATCACCGAACACATTATATGGGATAGCACTGTCGAAATTTTACCAACAACCATCTTTACCGTGACTGTCACTCGACTTGATGGCACATTGATACTTTCACATCAACATACTTATTGTACAAGTCCGCATAAACCCCTTAATAAAAAATGTCCAATTCCAGCAGGATACCTCGACTTTGAATCTCAATATGTGATCCCTAGTACTCCTGACCAACCTAAGGCTCGAACCGTCGAGTTTTTCGTAAACATGACCCGTAAGTTATCTATTTTTATTTATTAATTTGCTTTGAAACTGGTTATTCTAATTCTTCTAATAATTATATATTATTTTATTATTTTAATTTAGTTACCAGCACGGATGGAACTATTTTAATGTGCACAGAGGGCAAGCCCTCCATAAAATTTCCTTAATCATATATTTTATGTATTTTCTTTAATTTTCTTTAAATTACAAATGTCAAAGACAACTATTTCATAAAAAAGATCCTTTTTGTATATAGGAAGTTTCCTAAATCTTAATATTTTTGAAATGTTATAAATTTTTTTTGTTTTAAAACTAGTCCAATAAAATAATTTTCAGTCCCAATAATTGTTCTCTACCTGGAGGGCCCTGTAAAAAATGCCACTCCAGAATATTTCCATTATATCTCCGTGATCATGTTTATCACTCCGTAAATGTTCAGTTTATTTCATAAAAGCAGCACAATTAACTAAGCAACCCGGATTTTTTCCATGATATCATTTATTATTATATTAACTTGTAAATATGGAATTAAACGGAGTGTGAGAATAAGATTTATAGTTCTGGAATATTATTGAGTGACTGATAAAGTCACAAATAAAAACAGACCTTTTTATTATTAAGTAACTGTTAAAGTCGCAAATAAAAATGGGCATTTTTTTCTTACAAACTTGATTAAAACATATTAATATAATTTCCCGCATGTTGTATAAAATTTTTTGACGCGTCCAAATTTAAGTATAAATGCAAATAATTATATTGTTATGAACATTTGTACAGTTTAAAATTTCTTTTACGTTTTAAAATAATAAGCAAGAAACAATAATATAACAATTATCAAAAAAGGAGAAAAGAAATGTAAAAGATATTTAATAATATTATTATTGTTAAAATGCGTCAACAAATTGTGATTTAAAATCAATATTAAATAACATTACTAAATATCAACTATAAATAAGGTTTGAACATTATGTGAAATAGAATCTAGGCTTTCTTTTGAATCTAAGATCACTCAATTCGATCAAGTACTTACCAAGATACAAAAATATATGGTAATAGGTAAATAGTGTTTTTTTTTTGGATTTTAAATACTTATATGGCATTTTCAAATAATCAAACTCGTTTATCGTGCAACTAGATAAAGCAATCATCAACTATACTTTACAAAACTTGCTTTCCAAGCTTTGTAGATCTCATCTGGTGTTGATTAATTAGTTTTAGAGAGATTCATAAAAAAAATAGTTTTATGAACCCAAGCAATGATAACATGTTTCTTTTTTAATATTTACTTTTGTACCTATTTTTATATTAATATTTTATATATATATTTAGGAATGTAATAATTAAATTAAAAGGTATTTCTTTTTCTAAAGGTTAATGGTTGAAAGAAATCATATTTTATTTATTATTAATTATGAATATATTCTTAGATCTGGCGGTGTACGATCAGAAGAATTGTTACGCGGCCATATTTTATCTATTATTAATTATTTATTAGGTAGAAAATTCAACATCAAAAATTCTAGTCGATATGTTCTTGTAATAACATTATACTATTAATTATTAATCACTTTTTTTAGATCTGGTGGTGTATAACCAGAAAGAATTGTTATCACATATAATAATAATATAATAATAACAACTAATTTGATTGTCACGTAACAATTCTTTCTGGTTGTATGTACACCACCAGATCTAAAAAAAGTGATTAATAATTAATAGTATAATGTTATTACAAGAATATATCAACTAGAATTTTTGATGCTGAATCTTCTACCTATTTTCTAAAAATAGATAATTAATAATAGATAAAATATGGTCATACTAATATTATTCTTTTCATTGTTTTGCAAATCAATTATAATTCTGTTCAGATATGGAAAACTTCAAATAGAACATGGACAGACTGGTGTTAACTCAAAGCTGTCAAATCACAAGGTTGATGTACCACATACAAATTTTCGTGTTGCTGTATGCACATTGCTAATCCATAATCTTTCAAAAATTTACCATTTTATCATGTTAGTAACATTTAAAGATGGGAACCACAACTAGCTGCAATTACATTTTCATACGCCACAACTGCAACTGCAATCCAATTTTCATGTGCTGCAACTAGTCTCAATTAACTGAGGAGCCATCTTTAGTAGAGTCTATACAGGTTCCATATTCTGTACATCTGCGCCTCTGTAGTAAATCGTGCTCTGTATGGAACAAAATATGGAATCAAAGATCGTACAGACTGGCCCACCAATCAACTTTTCAAATTCCGTACAAAAATTAAAAAATAAAAAGTGCACGGAATAAAAAGGAATAGTAATAGTGTACGAAATTGAAAGTTGTACAGAATCCCTACTGACCGCTTTAGTAGACCATTTGAAAATTTATTTATTAATTAAATTTATCCGAGTTTTACCCATTTTATTAATTGATTTATTCAGTAAATGCTCAGTCATTTATCCGAGTTTCATCATTTTATTAATTACTGTATTCAGTGAAACCTCCATTTTTAATGAAAAACGGAACTATATAGATTCCGTGAATATGATACATTTATATTTATGGAAAAAATACGGAAATATATATTTATTCAGGGTTGGCAATTTTCAAGGTCATTTGCTATTTTTTTAAATGACCTAGGTCATTTCATATATGTAACTTATATTAAAATCATCACATGATTTGGTCATTTCAAGGTCATTTGAGGTCATTTGCCAACACTGTATTTATTAGCATAGTGGACACTGTTGCAGATCACAAAAAAATGATCAACATAACATATGTTATGGTGAAAGTTCTTGCAAAAGTTTGATTATAAAAGTGTGAGATAATTTTGATCTTGCTGATGATCTGGACTTAGAGAGGCTACAGCTATATTCTAGTGAAGTTTCAGAAGCAACGGGCTCTGTGTAACCGCCTGCCTATTATACAAATGACTGTTGCACAAAATGAGTGTCCATTATGCTAAGTGGAATCAATGTTTTATCAAACTATTTTTGACTCCATCAAACAAATATTTACAAGTTCTACCTACATGTTTATCATTCAAAATATTTGCATATCCAACTAACATTACATGTTGAACAGATCTTTATTACTACTACTGTTATTATTATTATTACTACTAATACTGTTACTATTATTACTACTAATACTGTTACTATTATTACTATTATTGTTATTATCACTTCTATTACTAATATTATAATTGATATATCTCCTAATTTGCCACCATTACTATTATTTATGGTTCAATATTAATTATTAATTTCTTATCTTTTATTTTGGTACAAGTGTTGTGGTTTTTGTCATTCTAAGTAATGAAATGAATGTAAGGAAAATTTTTTAATGACTGCCGAACAGGATGCGAAATGCGTGATCAAAAATATTGGGGGAATGCCCGGTTGGGGAAATTTTTATCAAAAAATATCGGGCCAAAAAAATTTTCTTAAATAATAATAATGACAAGTAGGGTTTCTATTCGAATTATTTGTTTTATTCGTTATTATTATTATGAATTTGAATATATATTCAAGTTAATATATATATATATATATATTTATTTACTTAGTCCTTATATACAGTAATAATAACAATAAATAATGGTAGCAAAAGTAATTTTCTTAAGCCATAATACTAGCAGCCATAGTAGTAGTAAAATAGATTATAAATATAACCATACTATCTTGTTAAAGGAAATAAACCTTATTTACACCTTAACAATAACAACAACAACAATATAGAATTTGTTGTGAATTAATGTTTTATACTTTGTAAAACGAATAAAATTAATAAAGCGAATAAAATGAATGAATAAAGCGAATAAAATTAATAAAGCGAATAAAGCGAATAATTTGAATACCAGTTATATTTAATATATGTCGAACTATATGCAACCCCCATCTTAAACATTTAAGTGAAACAATAGTAATAGGAATATTTGTCTTATTGAGTTGATCAACGAACTAGAAAAACTTCGTTATAACAAAAAATCGTTTTATCGAGCCATGTCTCATAACCTTCTAATTGTGTTAGTGTATATCGGAATAATAGGAAATGATCTTGCTTGCTTGTCTAAAAATGTATCGTACATCGAGTTCCAACACTTGCCAGTTCATTTGTGAATTGTTTCTCAATATTTCTATGTCATCTTTTGTTTGGCTGCCTCCAGTCATTTTTGTATATGAAGGAATTTATATGTCGATTGATATATCGATTCAATAAAACATCAGAAATACTTCAAGGATGTTGATCTATTTAATAAAACACTGATCATTTGCTTATGATCGATATCCAAAGATCTGGGATCTGAAAAGGTAAAACTTCAACATTACATTAACTGTGTAATAATCTCTTGAAAGTTTCAAACGGATTTTGTGAATTTGAAGTATTTTATGAGGACTAAAAGTGGAATTTAACAAAATATCTAATGATATAGAATCTAGAATGGATGAGGTTATGGAATGTTTTCAAAAAAAAACATTTTAAATGATGGTTTCTAGATTTAGTTATTGAAAGGTATAGAAGGTATAAAAGTTCTAAGAATCATAACCAATTCAAAAGCAAAGCTCAAGAATGAGAAGAAAAATTTATTATTATTATTATTATTATTATTATTATTATTATTATTATTGCTCATATCCATTAGTTTCTTTTTAATTACATACAAGTTAGGGTAGGAGAGCGAAATAATAAAATAAATTGAGTGGGCCGGACTAAATAAGTCTTTATCAGCGAATGGTTTAGGATTTGATTTGATGTGGATTATCGATCCTTAAACTTGTTCTCGAGCTAAAACTTGTTGATTGTTTATTAACTGGAAAGAAGAAAAATTCAAAGCTTGTTCGCCGTTGCTGTTATTTTAAAGTGAATTAATTTGGAAAATTATAATATCGAGTAAAACGATATTATCGGTGAATACGAATTTCATCCAAGAAAAACGATTGATCAATCATCATTTGTTTACCGACAAAATCGTCTTCTCTTTCTTTCTTTGCAAGGAGAAGAAAAACTACTAGGATCAAATTTCATGTCACATAAATCAGGCCCCTCATTTAACGTCTTAAATGATTTAAAAAAACTATCACGAGAGAGTGACAAAGACATGTTAAATTAGCCAATATGAATTCGCATCCAAATACCCCAACCTACATGTATTAATAGTTTGTAA